ATTCCCTCAAAATCAGAGAAATTCTTGACTTTCCTTAATGATGTCATCCTTTTAAAGACAGAGGAAAGCATCCACATGGCATAGTGGACACAGAGCTTGGTTTGGGAGCCAGATAGACCTGAGTTCAAATGTTGCTCTGATACCTAAGTGACCCTGGGTAAGTCACCTAACTTCTCAATCTTCCAGGCAACTCTCCAAGACCATAAGCTTTGGGGAAAGTGCTAATTGGCGTTAATAAAGGGAGTTCCTCACTGGTACCTCCCAATGACAATGGAAAGCTCAGGTCTAGTAAAAAAAAAAATGAAAGTAGAGGAACCAGAAAAGAGAAATTCTATTCTGGGTGTGATTCTCAACAACAGGGTAGAATGGGTTGTTGAAGTAGAAATGATTGGAACCTTGGGATGGAGGTAGGAGGTGGGGGTGGGGGAGTGATTGGAACCCTGGATGGAGGTGGGAAGTTGGGGGAGTGATCGGAACCCTGGGATTGGGGTGGGGGAATGATGACTCCATCTTAGATTTTGTGATACAGGAGAGGAAAGTCAGGTACAGTGTGATATGCACCCTAAACTTGGGGAGAATTCATTTCAAGGGTTCAAATAAAGAATAGTCAGGCTTCCATTGGACTAAAATTCTACTGGGAAAGTCAGCCTACGAAGAGTGGCTGGAAGAAGAAACAAATCCACTTAGAAGAAAGAGAGGCAAATGTCCTCTGAGGCTGAAGAGGATGACCAGGAAATTCACCAGCCCACTTAGACCTTATGAACCTATATGTGGATATCAGAAAGAAGGGCAAGGTGGTAGTGCTAGCTCTCTGCTGAGATAACAGGCTGGGGAATAGGACTCAGTACCATACACTACAGTTTAGGAAGAGGATGCTGAGAAGCAGGAAGGTATGCAGAGGAGGGGGGATGAAGAAGGGCCTTTATTACATGTGACAAGAGGATCAGTGGAAGAAATTAGGGATTTAGGTTAGAGAAAAGAAGACTTAAGGGGTGTGTGTGTGTGTGTGTGTGTGTGTGTGTGTATGTGTGTGTGTCTTCGGGGGGGGGCAAGACAATTGTGTTCAAGTATTTAGAGGGTTAATATAGAGAAAGAGACTTGTTCTGTCTGTCTCCAGGAGTCAAAACTAGGAGCAATGGATGGAATGTAAGGGCAGAGACTATTCAGCTTTTTGTCTCTGTATCCTAAGTGCCTGGCACGTAGTAGGTGCTTAACAAATTTGAGTTGATTGGATGCTACCAAGGGGCAAATTTCTCCTTGATGTCAGAAAAGACTTCCTAACAATGAATTGTCCGAAAGTAGAGTGTGTTCCCAAGGGAACACAAGAGTTCCACTTCCCTGGAAGCCTTTAAACAAAGGCTGGATGGCCTCTTGTCAGTTATGTTGTAGCTAGGATATGATTATGTGGTAGAGGATTCTTGTTCAGATACAGGCACATTGGACTGCGTGGCCTCTGAGGTCCCTCCCAACTCGAAGGATGCAGGCTTCCGTGAAATGCTGTGATCAGATTGGGGGCTTCACAAGATCAGGAACAGGGACCTTATCCCCAGCTACTGTGCCTTCCGAAAAGGCCCTTATATATTCATCTGGCATATATCCTGTATATACTTATTCATTCTCTCCCCCATCAGAATGGAAACTCCTGGAGGACAGAAACTTTTGTCTACTTTTGCTTTGCATCCTCAACACTTAACACAATGTCTGCCACTTAGTATTGACACTTGAAATGCTTGTTGCTTGACTCATCTTAAACCTTCTGTTTTATAAGGCTCTGTGCTTAGGGTCTGGAACATAGTAGGTGCTTAATAAATGTTTTTTAAATTGTATCAAATGGATAAGTGAGAAAATGAACAAATGATAGGATTTTTTTTAAGGGGAAGGGTCCAGTTAGCCCAATTCCCCCCTATTACCAACAGGGAAACTAAGCCTTAACATGAAGAAGGGGCTACTCAGAGACTCCATAGCTAGCAAATAGCAGAGTTAGGTTTAGAGCTCAGGCTCTCTGGCTTCAAATTCAGTCTTCTTTACATTGTTCATAAGCAATGAGTGAATAAGTAAATGAATGAACTTTACTTGGAGATGACTTAAGAACTAAAGGAGACAGGAGATCTCAGGCCCTGGGGATCAGCTGAGGCAGTGAGCAAGATGTCTCAGATGTGAAGGGAGAAGAGATAGGCTTCTTCCCACCCTCAACCTAAAAACAAAGAGCTCAGGGAAGGGAGAAACTGTAAGGGGCCAGAGGAGAGACCTCCCTGCCCTTCCTTTCTCTCTGCTCTGCTGCCTGGATCACACCAAGGATCTGAGCTGAGTCCCTTGGGGTTTTTAGGCAATGACTGGTAGCCTTGTCCTCAGGACTGTCTCAGGGAGAGTCTGACCCATCCAAACCTTTTCACTTTCCTGCCCCTCCCCAAACTGCAGTTCTCCTGGCCAAAGGCTAGAGCCAAGGCTGAACTGGGCCAGCTGACCATGGTGCTTGGAGGTGGTGACTTCTCATCTCCCGGGAGGTATTTGTCTTGGGCCATTGCATCTGGGATGGTCAGGGTATGGGAGTCTCTGGAGGCCAGCCTGGAGACACTGCTGCTCAGCTGTGAGGGCAGTGCCAGCTTTTGAAGATCTTGCTTGGGGGGGATGAGAGCAATCTTCCGTGGATTACCTCCTGAGCCTTCCAAGGGTCTCTCTGGCCCAGCCCAGAAGGGCCTCAGGGAACTGGGCCTAGCTTGGCCAAAAATCTCCCAGCCAGCTTTGTACCTACTCCTAGGGAATGTCTTTTTGGCTCCTTGGGCATCTCAGGGAGGATGTTTGTAACCTGAAGGGTTCTCTAGCCCAGGATTTCCTAACCTCCAGGCCGGATCCATGGAGAGCCCTCAGGATGCAGCACTTTCCACATAAGGACTCTTCTGGGTCACTTATTAATAACCACCTCTCCCATCAGTCCCTTCTTTATCCACTCCAACCTCCTTCTCTCCAGAATTTCCCCCTCTTCCCTCTTTCTCTCTTTTTTCTTGACTTTCAACCTCTATCTTCTCCCTTTTCCCCTACTCCTTTTCTTCCTCCTCCAATTCAACTAACATTTTTTAAGTAACTGGAGCATAGTCAGTCAACAGTCAACAAGCATTTATTAAGCACTTATTATGTGTCAGGTACTGAGAACTATATGGTGGAAAGGTCACTAGATGTGGAGCCAGAAGACCTGGGTTTAAATGTGATTTTGCAATTTACTAGCTGTGTGACTCTGGAAAAGTCATTTAGCTTTTCTGAGTCTTCCCTTGCTTACTTGTGAAATGGGGGTAACTATACTTGTACAACAGACCTCAGAGGGTTACTGAGAGGCTCAGAGGAGATAAAGACCATAAGGTTTTTAGAGCTAAAAGGACCTTGGAAATCATTTAGCCCAACCCTCTTGTTTTTTCGTTTTTTTTTTTTTTACAAATAATGAAACTGAAGCCCAGAGAAGAGAAGGGACAGACTTGCCCAACCAAGGTCATGCAGATGGCAAAGTGTGGGCTCAAGCTCAGGTCTCCTGAACTCCTTGTCCAAGGCTTTCCCCTCTACATCACAATTTCCTTCTCTGCCCAAGGTCTTGTGCTCAGCCTGTGGGAGGTAGGAAGATGTTGACATGGAAAAAACCCTGGATTAGGATTCAGAGGACCTGGCCTTAAATCATAGCTCTGTTACTTCTGTGCCTCAGTTTCCTCATTTATAAAACCAGGGCCTGCAATAGATAGCTCCTACAGTCCCTTCCAGCTCCAAATCCTACGATCTTCTGAAACAAAACAGAGTCCCTTCTGTCAGGATGGTGTCCAAGTTTGGCCTAAATACTGATGAGGACCTCAATGGTATCCAGCCACACTGGTCTTGCTGTTCAATATTCCATGGATTTCCCTCTCCAAGCCTTTGCACTGATTATCTTCGGTGCCTGGAATCTACTCCCTCTTCACTTGCATTGCTTGGAATCTTTCTTTCCCTTCAAAACCCAGCCTAAGTACCATTGTCCACGTGAAACCTTTCCTGATCCTCCACATCCTCCAATTACCTTGTATTTATTTTTTATAGACTTACATTTCTCATTCAGGGTGAGAGATGGTAAGTGGACAAGCAGAGCATTCCAATGATACTTTCAAGATGGCCAGGAAAAAATGAGGGAAACCTGGAGCATATAGGATGGACCACATTGGCCGGATGTCCTGTGGCAAACTGACTGGAGGAGATAGATAAGAGTCACACAGAATGGGCAGGCACGGGTGGGCTTGTGATCTGCATGATCTGCCTCATTGGAGGCAATTCCCAACTTGATGACATCACAGAGACATCTGAGTATTTGAATATCAAGACAGCTCAAAGTCACTTGTATGTTAGTATCCCCAATTTCCAGCAGAGTTTCTGGCACAAAATCAGTGCCTGATAAATGCTTGTTCATCAGCTGATTGATTCACGACCTCCTGAGGCAGAGTTCCCTGAAGGCATCTGATTGTATTGGTCTAAAGGAGCCCAAAGAATATAACTCTAAGTAGGACCTTTGGCTAGACTCCTTCAGACAGACAATTACAGGTAGCTATAAGGAGTCAAAGGTGCGCCAGAGGATTAGGGGTAAAGGGCTTCCTCTCCTTCCAACTCCTTGTCCTTGTGCAAACGCTGCTACATGTACTTCCACCATCTTTGTTATCCTCTTTAGCCTTCACCACCCCCAGCCTGAACCTTGGACTCTGCCCGTGGAACACTGGGCTCTGATAAGTTAGCTTTCTCCTTCTAGTGCCCAGAACCAGGCACTCATGGCACTTCTCAGCCATTTCCACATCAGGTCCCTGAGCATACCCCAGTCCCCTTTTATGCCTTTTAAGTGTTGTTCCCCTCTCCCCTCCCAGCTCCTTGAGGTCAGGGACTGTCTTACTTACTTTGCATATGTAGCCATCAGTGTATCTATGTATACCATGTATCTATGGTGCCTGGAACATAGGAAGCCATTAAATACTTCATTCATTCTCTCTTCAACACATCCACAGAGCTCCACAAATCCAGCTCTGGGCTGGGCAGCCCTGTTTCTTCATCCTCATCCCCACTGATTTGCCTTGAGTCATTCTGGGAATTGGAAAGATAAGACTGGATCAAAGATTGCTCCAAGAAGCATCCCCAGTGCTGCCTTCTCTAACGTCTGGATGCCATTGGAGGAAGCAAAGGTGATGACAAAGAGCAACAAACAGTGGTAGTTTATCGGTGATGATCACAGGTAGCTGGGGGTGTGGACAGGATGGAGTCAATGGGACTAGGTATGCTGATAAGAGTTAAAGGTCACACTTGGACATGCTTACTGGGTTACCAGTGTCAAGATCAGATGGTTTGGGACACACTGGCTGAAACACCCTCTCTGAGAACCACTGGATTAGATAATCTCTAAGGCTCTTCCGACTGTAAATCCTGTAATCATAAGAGGCAGATTGAAATCCTGTTTAAGGAAACCCTTCCAAACAATCAGAACTTTCCAAAAGTGGCATAGGTTGCTTCAGGGCGTAGCTCTCCATCACGGTGGCTCTTCAAGTAGAGACTGGATGGATGCCCATGGGTTAGGGATGTTATAAAAGAGGTTTCTGTTGAGGTCAAAGTTGGACTAGATGACTTTGGAATTCCTTCCAGCTCGCAGATGCTGTAATTCTTCCACTCTTGTTTTCTCAGAAAAGAACTCTCAGGATTAAATACATTGGAGGATCATGGAAAATTTCTATTTAACATAGGGGTAGCTACATTAGCATATCTTGATTCCATCAAGGTATTTGATGAAGTCTCTCAGGGGTGTGCTGGAACCAGTTCTAATTGACTCTTGAGAGCTGATTGTTAAATGTTCTATGTGACCATTTACTCAATGGAAATCAGCAAACGCTACAAATTACAGCTTGTTTTGTTGTTTTGTTGCTTGTCTAGACTTAAGAAATTGATAGGGGTTACGTTAATAATACAAATTAAACAAATGTGTGCTGTGCATACATCCCCACTTCCTCCTCCAGAGAGCTGGTTTTTAAACATTTACCAACATACCACTGCTCATGACTGATCCTTCTGGAACACAGAGAGAGATGTATGCTAGATGAGAATGCCTAAGTGGTTTTATGTTGTATAGATTTTACACTTATGTATATATGTGTGTATTGTTTTCTTCCAATAGAGTGCAAACTCCCCGAAGGCAGTAGTGACCACACAGTTCTTGGCACATATGGTGAATGAATGAGTGGACTGACAAATCCTACCCCAAAATGTCTTGATTAATGTCCCACCTCCAAATCTGTGGAGAGGTTTCTGGATGCCAGCCACAGGGCTCAGCTTGGGTTCTCTTCTGTTGAACGTTTTTCGTCAAAGAATTGGATAATGATGCAAAGGATGTGCTTATCAAACATGTCAATGACATTATGGCCAAAAGGGAGAGTCAACAAGTTGGATAACAGAATAAAGAGTAAGAATGATCAAAACAGGCTGGAAATAGGGAGCCAAAGCCATCAAGATGCCCCATGCTGAAAAACTTCGGAGATCTGTGGTTTGGTTCCTGTGGGAGAAGTAATAATAATAATCATAGCTAGCTTTTATATACTACTTTAAGGCTTGCAAAGCTTAATAGTTTAAAAACTTTAAATGCTTAAAAAGCTGAAGTTTTAATAGTTTAAAACTGTACTAACACTATTGGAACACCCCTTATTGTCTCCTTTTATCCTCACAACCACCCTGGGAGGTAGGTGTTATTATTATCCCTGTTTTACAGAGGAGGAAACTGAGGTAGAGAGAGCATAAGTGACTTGGCCAGGGTTACACAGCTAATAAGGGTCTGAGGCTGGATTTGAACTCAGGTCTTTCTGACTACATCTACTAGGCCATCTAGCTACCTTAACCAGGGCAGCTAAATCAGAAACCCTCCTGTCCTCTCTAGACAGGTGACCATGAATTGCTGTGGTTGAAAAAAAAAGCCATCTCTTGGCAGTCAGCCTTATGGTGACAAGCACCCCTGAGTTCCATTCAGGTGACAGGTGCAAATATGTCACCTGGCCCACCCCTAAAACCATTCCAGCCTGGGATACCTGCTAAAATTTCTCTTCAGTTGGTTAACTTTCTTTGCATAATTTTCTTGACTTGCTTTCTTCCCCCTAATTTTTCCTTGGTCTCTCTTATTTGATTTTTGAATTTTTTAAGTTCTTCCAAGAACTCTTTTTGGGGTTGTGACGATTTAACATTACTCTTTGGGGTAGGAATGGCTTTTTTTTAACCTATCTTTCTCTGAATTTGAACTCAGATCTTCTTTCACACCATAGTAGCTATTTATGATATACCTATAGTACATAGCCTCTTTTTCCTTTGCTTATTCATTTTCATTTTATTTTATTTTATTTTTAGCAGTTTATTATTGTAATCAGGTTTTAATCCCGAATTGTGGGTAATGTTGCCTCAGGCCTCAGCTCCTCCTTACAGTTATTTTCTGAATTCTGTCTGGGGGCTCCTCAGGGAGTCCTCTCCTCCCTCAAGCTACAGCTGTATCTCTCCTGAACCTAGGTTTAGACATGCTAATGCTGTTCAGGACTGAGTGAGCTGTGGGCTGGAGGGGGTAGAGATAATGCTGGCCAGCGGTGCATGGGAATAAGGGGGTGTAGTTAATGACCACAGAGGCACTCTGAGCCAACAGTGTGACCCCAGCAGCTCAAACAGCTCAGTGAACCTTAGGCAGCATTCATGAAAAGCCTACTGTCCAGACCCCAGAGAATAATAGGCCCATTGTGTTTGCCTCTGGTCAGGCCCTATCTGGAATAATGTGTCCGGGGTCACTGACAAACCAGAGCTGGAGTCCAGAGGAGGGTGACCAGGATGGGGAGGGGACTGGAGACCACGCCATCTGAGGATTGGAGCCTGAAGGATTGGAGCAGGTTGAGGCTGAGAAAAGAAAAGTCTCGGTAGGGAAAGAATGATGTCTTCAGGTGTCTGAAGAGCTGGTGCAGAAAAAAGGGATTATTCTGATTGTGTTAAATCCTAGATGGCAGAAACAGAAACAATGGGTAGACATTATGGGAAGAGAGATCTGGGCTCAAAAAAAGGAAAAACCTGTCTGGAGAGGAGGATGGTGCAGTGGATAGAGTGAGGGGCTCCTAGCCTTAGCCTCAGACCCTTACTAGCTGGGTGACCCTGGCCAAGTCACTTATGTTCTCTCTACCTCAGTTTCCTCATCTGTAAAATAGGAATAATAATAATAGTACCTACCTCCCAGGGTGGTTGTGAGGATAAGATGAGACGATAAGGGATGTTCCGAAAGTCTTAGCACATCTTTAAACTATTAGAACTAGTGAAGCAGCTAGCTGGGTTCCGGTGTTGCTTCTACCACTTTTTAACTGTATCGGCCAACAAGTACTTATTCAGGGCTTGCTGTGTGCCAGGTGGGGGCAGCTAGTTGATACAATGGATAAAGCACCAGGCCTGGAGTCAGGAAAATCTGAGTTCAACTCCAACCTCAGGCAAGTACTAGTGGTATGACCCTGAGCAAGTCACCTGCCCCCTTGTTTGCCTCAGTTTCTCATCTGTAAAATGGGGACACACTGGAGAAGGAAATGGCAAACCACTCCAGACAGTTCAGAACCACTGTCCTAGACCTTGGAGCTGGGAGGGATTTTTTTGTTTGTTTTTGATTTTTGGTGAGGCAATCAGGGTTAAATGACTTGCTCAGGGTCACACAGCTAGCAAGAAGTGTCAGGTCCTCCTGACCCCAAGGCTAGAGCTCTATCCACTCCGCCACCTAGCTGCCCCCCATCCACTCCAGTACCTTTGCCAAGAAAACTCCACGGAGGGTCACCAAGAGTCGGACACAACTGAAAGCGACTGAACACCAACAACAACGTGTACCAAGGACTGAACTAAATACTGAGGATGCAAAGAGATTATATTCTAATGGGAAAAAAAAATACATAGCTACATGCAGACCCTGAGCAAGTGACCAAACCTCTCTGAGCCTCAGAGTGCTCATCTGCAAAATGGGCACAATAATACCTGCAGCACTAGCCTCCACGGCTGTTGTGAGGCTCAAAGTGAGACCTCCATAAAAGGTGCCTGGAAAACTTTAAAGCACGCAAATGCTAGGAACGATTAGCCCAAGGCTTTGTTTCGTCTTGATCACTTTTCTAACACTTTCTTCCAGGATCCTTTCCCTTCTTGTTGAAGTCTTCAGTGATCTCCTTCCCCTCCCTTCCCCCTACCCCTCCCCTGCCCCCACCTAAGGCCATCCCAGAGAGCAGACAATACAATAGTGCACAGGATTTCAGATTAGAGGTCATCTAATTCAGCTCTACAAAGGAAGAAACTGGGGCAGAGAGAGAGAGAGAGAGAGAGAGAGAGAAGAGAGAGAGAGAAGAGAGAGAGGAGAGAGACAGAGGCAGAGACAGAGAGACAGGAGAGAGAGACAGAAAGAGACAGAGACAGAGAGAGAGACAGAGAGACAAAGAGACAGAGAGAGAAGGGGATTTGGCCATGGTTACGCAGACCCTAAAGTAACCCAGCAGAAATAAGAACCCAGGGGACTCTGAATCTAGGGCTCTGGGGCCAACATCACAACTATTTCCTTCTGCACTTCGTTCCTACTTCTGTTATCCTGTCCCAGGATCAGCCGGTGTTATTCCTGCCCCTGTCTTATCTCCCCTACCGAAGTGTGGGCTCCCTGGGGGCAGGCAAAGACTGGGTCTTATTCATCTTTCCATGGCTTCACATCTAGAGGACCTTCGCATAGTAGGCCTTCCCCCGAATATCTGTTGAATGAACGAAAGGATAATCCAGAGGGAATGTCTGGGATGCATTCAATTCAGCATAATTTAACAAAGGGGGCATTAAGCACCTGCTGTGTGTAGGATGCTGTACTGGGCACTGGTGAGAGACAACAGATCTTCCAATCAGCTTTTATTAAAGCACCTACTGTGGGCCAAGCGCTAAGGATAGAAACGAAAGTGCCCTCAAGGAAATTACGTTCTAATAAGGAGATACAACACAAATATAGTGTGGTGGCCAGGGAAAGGAGCTTTGGGCTCCTTACTCATACACTCACAGTGGAGGATTATATGGTGGCCAATTGCCATGGCCTCTCTAGCAGCTTTCGGAGTATAGATTTTATTATTGTTTCTAGTGTGAGAGATGGAAGAGGGGATGGGAGGGAATGAATAGTAGCAAGGCACATGTCACATGGCAAAATACCTGAGCTGAGCAGGTCCCAATGTCTGGCTGGATGGGTAGATGGATGGGTGGGTGGGATGTGAAGCATGGACTGGCACACACAACTTAGCTAAAACAGAGTCACGCTCCTCTAGGGCTCATGGTCCAGTTGAGGAAAGTGCATGCAGATGGTAGGCCAGCCAGACTGATGAATAACCATGAGTGCAGCCAGTGATGCCAGAGGAATTCTCCCAACCTCTGTGTTTAGCCTCAACTGACCTACTCAGGACTGATGCAGTTGCACAGGAGTCCACTTGCTTTGTCTGAGTATGCCGGTCTCGTGATAGCTCACCTTTTGGGAGCAGTGAAGAGGTTGGCTGTGGAGCAGATGGTCATAGCTTCCTATAGCCTTCTCCTATGAAGGAATATGTCTTATGTGGTTTGCACATGAATAAACGCTAGCATTTATATAGGGTTTTAAGGTGTGCAAAGTGCTCTACAAATATTATCTCACTTCATCCTCACAACAGCCCCGGGAGGTAGGTGCTTTTATTATCCCCATTTTATAGATGAGGAAACTGAGGCAGACAGAGGTTAAGTATCTTGCCCAGGATCACATAACTAGTAAACGTATGAGGCTGAACTTGAACTTCCTGACCTAGCTTCCTTCATTATCAACAAAACAGCTCCATAACAATGACTGACATTTATATATCTCTTTAATGTTTACAGAACACTTGGTATATGCTCTCTTATGTCAGCTTCACAAACAAGGGAGGCAGCATGATATGGGGGGGTGTATATGTATGTATACATGTATATGTATATGTGTGCATATAGATATATGTATGTATGTATGTGTGTGTAAACACACACACATTCACATCCATATATACGAGTAGCTAGCTGGTGCAATGGATAGAATGCTAGGCCTGGAGTCAGGAAGACTCTTTGTCATGAGTTCAAATCTAGTTAGTTGTGTGATCCTGGGCAAGTCATTTAACCCTGTTTGCCTCAGCTTCCTCATTGGAAAATGAGCTGGAGAAGGAAATGGCAAACCACTCCAGTATCTTTGCCAAGTAAATCCCAAATGGGGTCAAGAAGAACAAAGAGTTGGACATGATGGAAACAACTCAACAAAAACAATACGTGTGTGTGTGTGTGTGTGTGTGTGTGTGTGTGTGAGTGAGTGATGGACAGTCCTTGATCTCAAGGAACTCCCAGTCTAATGGAGGAGACAACATGCAAACAACTATGTATGAAGAAGATAAATATATATCATATATATATGTGTGTATATA